ATATATATATATATATATATATATATATATATATATATATATATGTATATATGGGAATAAGTCACCAAGAAGATATAAGAATTTATAAATATTTGTGTTCCAAACCTTGAGGCTCCTAGTTCCATAAACAAACACTAAAAGTCATGAAAAATAAGGTATGTTCAGACACAAAAGATATTCTGATATGCCATTCTCACATTTGGATGGGTCTTCTAAACTGAACTATGGCAAAGAGTTAAACTACACCAGTGATTTAACAGCAACTTATAGACTACTTTATATAGCAGTTGGTACTGTATGTCCTTAGTGGTAATGGAACCTTCTCTATTAGCAACCATGACTGGCCACAGAGCCAGTTTTAACTAATTCAAAGCAATTAAAACAATTCCTTGTATCTTAACATATAATTGTGGTATAAATAAATATTAATAGCAAGAGAAAACACAGAAACTACACAAATATTTGAAGACTGAATAGTATACGTGAATGATCAGTGGAGGAAATGTTTAAATTCTTAGATTCAGATACAAATGATAACAACCCACCAGAACCTCTCACATACAGCCAAAACATTGTAAAAGGAAGCTTGTAAGCACTCGGTTTAGAGAAATCAGAAAAAACCTTAATCCAATGATGCACCTCAAAGTTTTAGAACAAGAAGAAGTAAAGTTTAAATGCAGTATATGGTGAGATAAAAATTAGAGCAGAAATTACTGTACAGAACAAAACCTAGACAAAGTTATGTCTTCAAGAGATAAGAATGACAACCCACCTGGCCAAGCTAACCAAAAGACAAATGAACCAAGTTCATCTCTAATGAAGTTAGAGATGAAAAGGAAGTTACTATAACAGACGACAAGGAAATAAGAAAGACGATTAAGGAAAACTTAACTTTCTATCAAACTGGAAAACTTGAAAAATGGATAAATTCCTAAAGAGTATGACCTACCAGAATTTATATCGCTTGTTTTGGGAACAGAGCAGTATTGTCACACAAAGGAAAGCCCCTAACTGAACAGATTCACTGGTGAATTTTAACAAACCTTTTGAAAGACACCTAACACAACTGTTTTCTAAGCAAACTGGTCCACAAAATCGAGAGTAAAGAGTACTACCAGGCTCGTTCTTCAAAGCAAGCATTGTCCTGGGAAATAAGGGAAGGTGCCACAATGAGTAAAACAAACACAAAATGAGAACTGTAGGTCAATCTCCCTGATGAGCACACATACAAATTCTCAAAAAAAAAAAAAAAAAACTTGCAAATTGACTTCAAGACTACATTAAGAAGATCATAAATCACGTCCAGGGTGTTTTCATCTGAGTGCTGCAGGGTTTAACATATGTAAATCAGTAAATGTAATATACTATATAAGTAAACATAAGGGCAGAAACCACTTGAACATATCAATAGCTGCAGGAAAGAACTTGGCAAAATTCTACATGCCTTCTTAGTAAATGTCCCAAAGAAACTAGAAATTGAGTGAATATATCTCACCACAAGCAAAGGTCTACAAATGTATATCTGATATAATATAAAATTAGGAAGAAACCAAGGGCATGTCTTCTAAAATCTGGAGTGAGACAAATCTGCCCCCTCTCTCCATTCTTATTCATTAGTGTTTGAAGTCTTAGCTAGAGCAATAAAACAGGAGAAAGAAAAAAAAAAGATACAAAATAGGAAAGGTAAAAATTAAGTGGTCTTTATTTGCTTAGGGCATTATGCTATGTTTAACAGAACTTATGGTCTCCACAAGGAGAGTCTAGAATCTGGTAAATACTTTTCAGGCAGTTACATGATTCAAAACCATAATATACAGTTCAGTAGCTTTTCTATATACCAACAACAAGCTAGCTGAGAAAGAAATGAGAATATAATAGATTCACAAAAAAAAAAAAAATAGAGATATCCATCACCAAGTCTAACGAAGGGGGCTAACAATTTCTGCAATAAAATCTTTAGGACACAGAAATGGGAATTGAAGAAGACACGAGATGATGCAAATATCTTGTGTGCTGCTGAATTGACAGAATTAATATTATGAAGGTGGCTACAGTGTCAAAAGTAATCATTGGTTCAATGCACTTACCATCAAAAATCTTTTCCAGGAAAACATATAAAAACTGCAAATTGTTATATTAGACAAAGTAACCCAGACTCAGAAATACAAATGCCATGTTTCCTCTTATGAGCCTATATTTTACTCACTTTTACCTACGTGAGTATAATTGGGGCAGGGGACCTCAAGAAGGGAAAAAGGCTTATGGAAGGGAAAGAGTAATGGGTCATAAGTGACATGAATACAGAATGTAGGATGCTACTGGAGACAAAGGTGTGGGTAGGGCAAGGGAGCAATGGGATGGGAGAGCAGAGTGGGAGGAGGATCAACACCAAAAAAAAAAAAAAATGCAAGAAGGTGCAATATCGAGAAATCCATTTCTTTGATGCTCAGTCTTGATTGTCAATATTACTGGTCTGCATCCAACTAAGAGGCAAACATCTGGGCACAGCTGCGAGGGATTTTCTTAAATTAAGTGCGTTACGCCTTCTGGTGGCAACCCAGATATAAAGAAGTCTAAGGGGAAAGCTTTTGGCTGTTGTTCATTCGCCTTCTGACAAGTTCTTCTACCTTGTTTGTGAGTTCATGGATGCTGCTGCTGCTGCCGCTGCTGCCGCTGCTGCCGCTGCCACCACTGCCTCTATGTTCCCTTGCTGATACCAGAACCCAGCTTCTTCAAGCTTCCAGTGTGGACTAGTTTGGACTGAAGACCAGCGCCTCTCTGGGAGTCCTCTAGGCCTTCGGTACCAGCTTGGGAGAGCTGAGGCATTCAGCCTTGCCGCCTCAGGCTCTCCGTGTGAAGACAGCCGTTGTTGGACTAACCTGACTGAAGTATGTAAGCTAATCGAATAAACTCCTCCTTGACACATATTCATTCTGTTGGTTCTGTTCCTCTAGAGAACCACGACTATTACTTTGAATGCTAATTTTAAAAATAAAAATTATTTTTTTTTAAAAAAAACTGTAGGAACTTCTGCACATTCCAGGTAAAGGTTTGACTATAGGATCTTTTAAAGAACGACTCTTCACCCAGCGCCTGTGAGCAGGCCAGGCAATGCAGGGGCCTTTCTCCAGCATCTGCTTGCTGGACCAAACACCTCCCTTCTTTTTAGCCAGTGCCAGATTGCGTGCCTCTGCAGTTTGGTGGGCCTTTCCTTACTCCCCCTCGGAAAGCTTTGCTGGAGTCGGGCCACTCTCTGTCCCTCCGTACTGTAAGGCCTAGGTCTGACGCTAGAGTTCCATTTCTTTAACAAACCTAAAGTTTTCTTCGTATCTAAAGGGGCACCTTCATCTAAAGCTCTGTGGACCTATTCAATGACGACACAACACAAATTTGTATCGAACATGGAAGTTCTCTCTAGCTACAAAGGCAACTAAGTTCAGGCTATATTTTGAAAGCAGTAGAAAAATGAAACCTTTTAAAATTTCACAGGAAATGAAGATTTGTGTGGAAAAGAAGCTTCATCCTAAAACGTAACGTGGGTGAAGACGAATAGAAATAAGTCACCAAGCAGAGTATTATAGTGCATAGCTGGGGAGAAAACTAGAGAAATCTTTTGAGTGATGCTTACCTATCATTTAGTGAGTGAGAATTATACTTTGAGACCTTCAAGTTTTGTTCAATTTTGTAGCATTAGAATTATCTTACACGGGGCTGGTGAGATGCTTTGTCAGGGAAAGGAGCATGAATAAAACTCTAGGCCCTAAAAATGTATCTTCTATTACAGTACAACGGCTTCTCCGAAGGGCACGGTTAGTTGCTTTACGTTGCTGAGGCGACGAACTAGTTGGATGACTGAACTGACGCTAGTACAACATTCAAACACAGCTAAAGAGTTTTCAACCATAACGATAAAACCAAACTAGGTAAATTTCAATGCCTGTGTGGATTATGGCACGCATATAACAAGACGGGAGTCACGAAATACTAAGATTCATTCCGCTTACTACCACAGAGCTCTGCAAATCGCTTGTGAATATTCTCCAGCAGAGTTCACAATCTAGCACCTCTGAGCATAACTCCAAGAACGAGTAAGTACTAAATGAGATATAGTAAGATTTTATTAAGCTAGCATAGTTTCTACGGTGGCCTGTACATCTCAGGCACCACGGATGTTCGCTTTCTCATCAAGTCTTAAAAATCAATGTACGGGAGGCACGCCACGGCCAGCTCTTCTTTGGTACACCCTTTAAGACAGCACTTCTCCGAGTACCCTCTGCGCTTCCTCTGGGCGCGCCGGCCCCAGAGCAAAGCGCTGAGAGTCTTGATTTTGTCTGTGCTTTTCTTCTGAAGCTTTGCACTCTCGCCATAGGGAATGACATCGTGGGATGAAAACTCTGACTTAGGACGCAGGTTGACCTTTTCAAACGGATACTTGGGCAGTGGCTGAAGTTCCCAAATGTTTACGGCTTTTTCCTGAGAGGCACCTGCAGGGACTGGCGAGAGACAATGAAAAAACAAGCAAAAAAAGAAAGTCCTATTTATCCAAATCTTCCATTAAATGTGAACTTAATATAAAACACTAAAATTAGATAACTATTAAAAGTCACCTTAAATAACGGTTGGGAAGGACAGATAGTCACAGGCAATGTGCGTTTAAGTGAAACAGTTGCGGTGTTTTCCTATAAGAAGGCTTAGCGACCTTTCACTATTTTGTAATAACCACCCACACGCTCAGCATTTGACCACAGTGAAATCCATGGTTCCTAGTGCATGCACGAGGTCGCACCACCATCCCCACTATCTACTTCCAGGACATTTCTCTCACCTCTCAAACACGAGACAACCAGCAGCCGCTACTGACAGACACTCTGTTCTCCTTCCTGTGCTAAGCCCATCAAGCCTCTATTTGATTTGCCATGAATCTGTTTATTCTGTCCCTGCTATACCAGCTGTAGCCTCTTGTACGCGGGCACTTTTGCCTGTCTTTCTACTAGCATAACATCTTCCATGTTTATCCTGGGTGCCGTAAGGTCCCTCATTTATTCCTTCCATGGCTAAATCACTTCCCTTTGTGTGGCTTTCATTACATTTCATTCACCCCTCCATCGGGTCAGGATATTTTCATGGTCTGCCATGGATGTTCAGACCCGCACGTTTATGCATTCAGGTTTCCAGGCCTTTTGGGTATAAACATGGGCGTGGAATTATTGGATCCTGTGGAAACTTTGAGCATCTTCTCATGAGCTGCGTATCATCTTAAGAGAAATGGCCATTAAAGCCCATGCTCATTCTCACTTATTCATTTGTTTACAGTGTTTGTCTTTGCTTACTTCCAGTCAGACTGTCTTTTTATGTGTAGTTATACCCAAAGAGTTAATCAAAAACACTTGGTTCTTTAACAAATATAGACCAGTGGGGAAGTGGAGATGGGCTCAAAGTACAGACTGACTGTGATATTGTTCCTAACTCAACCAACATGACTGGATCCTAGATCATAGAAACTAAACTAAGTCCTGAAAGTAATAATTCAGAGACTCTGTGGGTGTCCACTGTGGCCGCAGTCAGTACTCCTGGGAGGACAGCTTTTCCAAGGCCGTAACCACAGGTCCAGCTCTGCAAGCCACGCTCTGAATTATGTAACTCCATTGCAAAGCTCAAAGAAAGAAGTCTACTCTGGTGCATGGTGACCTGTGGTGCGTGGGGAAATGAACTGGCTCAGTCAGTTGCCCGAATTTTGAAATTAGAAGTAAATAACAAAAAAAAAAAAGCAATATAATCAGTGAAATTCAAAACTAAAAAGAATTCCATGAGGTTTGTCTTAGAAGAAAGGAACATAAATACAGTCAAAAGAGAAAGAGGGGGAAAGGGAAAGAGAAGGGAGAGAGAGTTGGTTACAGCTGACGTGATTTCTTTTGGGCTTTCTGAATTCATTCCTTTCTTTCCCCCTTTCTTTCATTGTGAGGTTTTGCCAGGGACGCTCTGCCCCTGGAAGTTAGAGGACTCAATTTACGACTCTTTTCTGCTACTATTTTGACCAATAAGACAGAATTACAACTAAACTAAGAAGAAAACAACGATTAAAGTGAACAAAATACAGTAAGAACGGAAGAAATAGTATAGATACAGTCTGGATTCTAAATAAATGATTATTAATGCTTAAACATTTGAAATTAAAATAAAACAGATTCCTATGAAAACCATAACACAAACAGAGACATACAAAACCTGAGTGCATCAATGACAGAGAAATCAAAGGCATAAGTTGTCATCACCTTAGAAGACGCACACATAGATGGTTTCTGAGGTGGATTCCACCTACCTCTAAAAAAGTGTAACTTACAAACAATACATGTCATTTTCCAAAGTTCATTACTAGTCCTATTTCCAAACCAGCTAAGAACACCGAGATTTTTAAAAAGTTCTTATAAGTCATTTCACTTACAAACACTGGCTTAGAAAAAAAAAAAAAACTATGAAATTAGTTAAGTGAATCTAACAATATATTTACAGACATAGGAGAAAGGTTTATACCAGAAAGGGAAGGTCAAGATCATGACATCTATCAACGCAATTCATCATGCTAATTCACTTTCAGCCAGCATTGCTGCAATCAACAGGTAATGTTTACCATTTTGAACTCCTTTCTTAACATCTGTCCCCAGATAGTCTCCCTTTCTACCTGATTGCACGCCAGAATTCATCTCATCTGCTCTTGTCCTTCCCTGTGTCCATTATTGTTTTCGCTTCACACAAATTGCTCGTCTGGTTTTGCTTTCTTACCTCTAACAGCCATCCTGAGTGACCCTTACCGACCTTAGCTGCTGCTTTTACTTCCTGTTCCAGCCATCCTGACCTCCTCGCTGTTCCCAGTATAATTCAGACAGAAGCGCCCCCTCCCTCTTTGCTCTAAATAAATACCCCCACCGCAGCCAGGTATGTGGCCAGACCCTCATCACTATGTCCATTTTCTCACAATGTCTGACGGTAGCTAATTTCAAATTAACAACAATGTATTTGAGTCATGATTTGTTGGTGTCAAAGCCCTTGCTGTAGCGCTGTCGGAACAGGAGCGTGGGAACAAAACGCTGACAGGAGAAAGAAGTTGTTTCGCAACAGTTTTACTCAGGACAATCAGTTTCTGTGATAATGGCCTAAATCCATTTCAAGAGCATTTAATTCTCTTACCTCACCTCCCAACGCTGCGCTGAGCGTTAAGCCTCTAATACATCCCCGTTAGAGCCTCTGTGAATTTGGGGGAGATGCCTCACACCATAGCAACCTCTTTCGTCAAACGCCATCTTTTTAATAAGGCCTCTTCTGATCACATCATCTCTTCTAAAGCTAAAGTAGACTTCAGATTACTCTGCCTGTGTTCTTTAAAATTGTATTTACACGTATGCGAGGAACAAACTCTATTTCCTGCAGAAACTCACTGGCGGAGCCAAGTGGAGGGCAAGAAAGGCACGCTGCTGAGCAGACACGCCTCCCTCCAGAGCGTTACCTGGGTCTGTGAATCTTCCCCAGGCGGAAGTAGGGATTTGCTCAGGGCTGAAGGTTTTGACTTTCTGCGAGGATTGGTGAGCCAGCTGCTTCATGGGAGTCTGCCCTTCCATCTCGAACTGGCTCCAGTCAGTCTGGCCACAGATTTTTACAATTTCCGTCATCAGGTGCCTGCCGCACAGCCTCCTGGGTTTGCTTCCGTATTGCGCCTGGGAGAAGGTAGCCAGTAGGAGTCCAAACCACAACAGACCAGGACAGCTCCGCTGCTTCATCCCCGGGCTACGCCGCTGGGCCGGGCGCGCTGCAACGGCCGTCGCCCCGCCTCGCCCCGCCCCGCCCCGCCCCGCCTCCTCCTCCCCGCACACCACGCCCCCAAGGCCGCTCGCACGGGTCTGTAGGCACAGTTCCGGCCCCCATCCGTACCAGGCACACACGCGGTCCAGGTGGGTCCAGATGCAGACACGCAGGCAAACACTCCCGCACATCAAATCCAAGAAAGAAGCTTTCAAAATCACTGGCTCGCTAGGTTAGCGCGCTTCATCGCGGCATCCTCTCAGGTCCACAGCTTGAGCTTCAGTCTCGCTCGCTCGCCGCCCTCACTGCCCTCTCCCGCGCCTCCCACCGGTTCAGCTTCTTTTTTCAGTACTTCCCCTTTCTGTTTTTTTTTTTTTTTTATTACATGTGTCCTATTATTTGATTTCCTCCTACCTTCCTCAAGCTCTCGTTCCTCTCGGGATGCCCTGTGCAGTTTCAGGACCTACAAACCCGTGTTTAAGCATACACATATTATGTGGTTTTAAATCTAGATCCCACACGTAAGTGAAGACAACGTTTAGTATTCTGTTCCGGGTAAAGTTTGCCTCAGTTCATTTTTATGAATGCATTCTTCTTATAATAAATCTTTTTCGTTGTTCTATTACATTTATTTACTGGTGTGTGTGTGTGTGTGTGTGCTGCAGGTTGGAACTGGTTCCCTCCATGCACTATTTGGGTCTCAGGGGTTGATGTCACATTCGCAGGCTTGGCTGCAAGTGCCTTAACCTGCTCAGGTGTCTCGCTGCCCAGGGACACATCCTTAAATTCCACACGTCGCTCTCACCAGCATAACAACTGAATGGATTTATTTAACTGAAAAAAAAAATTATTATTTAAGTGACTAATTTTGAGTGAATAAGTTCTAATATTATAAAATTAACTTCAGACTTATTTATTAGTATTCTAGAGCATTGTCATAAAATATTTGTCTTTCTGAGTCAAACATACTTTATTTAACATAATTGACGTTTGTATCCATTTTCTACAAAGGCCATAACTGCATTTTTTTTTCTTTATGAACATATGAAAGTTTCATTGTGCATGGGTACTCCATTTTCTTTTAAAAAAATAGTGTTTATATTTAAGTATGTTTGTGGGTATGTGCAAGTGTGGGCGCCCACTGAGGTTAAAAGGGGTGTCATATCACCGGGAGCTGGAGGTAAGAGTGGTCGTGAGCTACCTGACCTGGGTACTGGGAACAAAACTCAGGTTATTGTTGATTGATAATAGCTTTTCTGGCTAGACTAAAATGGACCCTCAAAGCAGTTGTAATTTGTACTTTCCTGGTGGGTAGGAATGTTCGAGGTGTTTTTGTTGTTGTTGTTTTTTGCCATTTGCATCTCTGCTTTTGAGAGCTCAGTTCATTAGCCTATTTATTGACTAGATGATTGGCTTTTGTGCTGGTGTCCTCCGTGAGCTGGTAGTTGTGAGTTCTTGGAAAGCAGGCTGAGCAGGTCAGGAGAAGGAGGTCAGGAAGCCGCTCCCTGACCTCTGCATCAGCGCCTGCCTCCAGCTGCCCGCTCTCTTAGATTTCCTGTCCTGATTTTCTTTGATGATGAGCAAGGATGTAGAAGCCTCATCGGATGTGGATGCTGTCAAATGAACCCTTTCCCGCCCAAGTTGCTTGGGTCATGGTGTTTCCTCAGAACAGTGGTAACCCTGACTATGACTATACCGTTGTCCTGCTCTGTATTTTCCTATGCCCTCCCCACCCCATTCCAAACTAACGCGCAATAGCTTTCACTTCTTTATCTGTTTACTTTCTCCCTACCAGGATATGTTCTCCCTGCAGGTAAGAATCTTCATCTGACTGTGATACCTCTCTTGCCTTGAACAGTGTCAGAAATACAGTAGATTCTTAGCAATAATTTAGTGTTACAGGTACAATTCATAATATTATCAACAAATTATGGATTAAGTGCTACTGGTTCTTTAATATTTGCTAAATTAATGAGTAAGTGAATAAATGAGAATTTGTGGGTTTCTTTGTACTGTTGCCCTACTTCTGTAATCATTATAGTTTCTTATTGCACTGTTTAATGTTTAAAATTCTTTTCAACAAGCTCATTAGTGAATGGAATCATCTCTCGTTCATATTTATAATCTAGTGCCTCCTAAATTGAACTTTAGTGAGTATCTGTGGAAAAAAGCACATTCAATTCGTATTTATTCTTAGCAAAGTTTAACGGATTTATTAAGTTGTTATTTATATGTATTTTTATTATCACTTTTAAATCTCATGTGTATGTCTGTTCTGCCTGCATGTATGTCTGTGCACCACTTTCATGTGTGGTGCCTGCAGAGGCCAGAGGAGGACACAGAATTTTCTCAGAGGGCATTGTATTGGGGTAAGCTATTACATATGGTTAAATGGTAAGAATTTATCATCATTTTAAATTCATACCATTCAAAAGTGGTAAGACTGTTAAAAAGGGGACAAAATGAGTTTTGCATAAAAGCATATGATTAACAGAACTCCGATAATGCAAAGAATATTTATTTCACATTAGAGGACAAAATCTAAATGTAAATAATGATTTTTCAGATCATAATAAATTATCAAGGGGAACGGAAAGAGGCATCAGACAGGAGCCAAGAATGCTCGTGAACACTGACGAGTTGCAGACAACCCTGTATCAGCAGACTTTAGCAATAGATCTTCTGGTACAGCCAACGTTGCAACATTGCTTGCTCAGCCGCACATCAAACTCCCTCCTTTTCCGTGAATGAGCATCCGAGCGTGAGTACTGAAGTCCTAGAGGCCGTTTGTCTTCTGCTTCACCCTGTGTTTTACGGGAAGTCTTCTCAAATCCTTCCAAGCTGACAGCAGAGTCTCTCAGTGCAGATGCATATTGTAGCTCTGGCAACGGTTTGAGCCCCTGAGACAGTGCTGCTTTGGGCTCCTCTGATAAATCTGGAAGGCATTTTAACATCATATCGAAAGGCTCTGCATCTCTGTTGATGAAGGATGGCATGATTTCTGTCAAGTTTAAAAAGAAGTGGGTGGGGAGAAGACACTCATGTCAAGGAGCATTTGGGAAACGACAGACATTTGTATAGAAAAAGCATTTTGCGTGGATATAATTAAACACTGAAATAGTCAGCAAGTATTGAATAGCTAAATGGTTTTGCTTGCTGGGCAGTTCAGAGCCCTATAATCTTCTAAGGTTCCGTTTACTCCACTTGGACTGCTTTCTTCATCACCACCGCCCTTTTTTTTTTTTCTTTTTCTTTCTTTTTTTTTTTTTGCTTCTTGTTCACAGTAATTTTCACCCTTTGACACTGAGCTCTTATCTTTCTGAAATCATGTTGGTCATTAAAAACACTAGTTTTCATGATTTCTAGCCAGGTGAGGTGCCACACGTCTTTAATCCCAGCACTTGGGGAGCAGAGGCAGGTGGATCTCTGTGAGTTCAAGGCCAGCAGGTCTACAAAGTGAGTTCCAGAATAGCCAGGACTACGTAGAAAGACCCTCTCTCAAACAAAACAAAACAAAACAAAACAAACCAACCCTACTCATGTCCATGTTTTCTAACCTGAATTATTGTCATTGCTTTTGAGCCATGAAAGTAATCCTTGAAAAAGGTTTTCATGATTTTAAGATCCCATGGGGTCAAGTTACTGCTTCAGGATGAAGTTTAAAAGACAGAGCCACCAACAGTTCGGCTCTGACTAGAGGAGGGTGTCCGTCTCTAAACACATCAGCAGCAATCCTTCCTCCCCAGAGTGTTTCCTCCAAATACACACACACACACACACACACACACACACAGGCACAGACACACACACACACACACAGAGACACACAGACACACACAGGCACAGACACACAGAGATACACAGACACACACACACAGGCACAGACACACAGAGATACACAGACACACACACACAGGCACAGACACACACACACAGGCACAGACACACAGACAAACATGCCACCTTACCTATTCCAAACGCACAAATTAAGAATGTTAACAGGCAAAGAAACCAGATATGCTGACGGAGTTTAAACAACATTGCAACGGTCCAGTTCTTGCTGCTGTTCTTCACGAGGAGCAGAACAGGGTGTCAGCTTACCAATAAGTCATTCCTTTTGAAATAATAAAACCAAAGAACCCCAAAGATGGAGTGGAAGGGAGATGCCTGGTTTGCCATGGAGGCTTACCCTCTAGAGAAAGCCAACCTCCCTCCTCCACACACACAGGGGTGTCCTGTGACAAAGATCCTTCCTAAGAATCCTGCTGCCCTTTCAGCCAACTGCAAACTTTAGCAGTTGGGATCTGGCAGAGGGAAAGCGAATGTCCTGCCACCAGGTTACCTCAGTCAGCAAGCGCAGGTGGCATTCTGTACCATTTTGGGTACATCAGAAGTTTTAGCTTTTTTTCTCCAGTGAGGCATTTCTAACTTTAACTCACCTCATTGATCCCTCCCTGCTCGAAAACTTTGTCCAGATAGGGCTTTTATTGGCTGCCAAACAAAGTGGATGACAGCTTTTATGTACTTAAAGTCAGTTAGCAAAAACCCAGTTGTAGTTTGGGTCAGAGTTAACTTACAGGGTTTTACACCTTGAAAGTCTATTTAAAATTATTTTAAAACCTACTTTGAAATCTGTTTTTTTTTTTTTTTTTTTTTTTTTGTCTGTAGATAACAGACTCAAATATTAGATTTTAACCTAACTCATTCAGGTACACGCTCTTTAATCACTGGGCTTTGGATTCAGATATCACTTATATAGATAGCACCGATGAGTAGCTCACTCCACAGCCCAGATCAAGCGCTGGCTTGAAGCTGCTGGCTGCAGTACTCTGTGAAGGCTTCGCAGTGAAACTCTTTACCTCCAATCAAGTTACCAAGACCACACCTGAGGCCGGGGTTGCACAGCACCCGCGGCAGGGGCGGGGTGGGGGCGAGGAGCGCCTACTGATGGGCTGCAGCCAAAGGGGAGCGTGGGAAAGCGGGGACCAGAGCCGCGCTCACCTGAGGCCGGCCGCTCCGGGCTCAGAGCCAGCCTCCCCACGGACGTCCCGCAGATCTCGATGACTGCTCGGGCATAGTCGCGGCCGCACACGTGAATGACTTCGTCCAGCCACTTCTCCGAGACCCGCGCCCCGCAAGGCCGGCTCAGCAGCAGCCAGAACCCCAAGAGCTGGAGCAGGAATCTGCTGGACATCCCGATCTGTGTCTGCTTTTGGCAGGCTCGGCCTTGGCGGGACTGGACTCCTGCTGCTCTCTGAGAGCTCAGCCCGCCTATATAAACCCTGAGGCGCTCTCAGGGACGATGGCCAGCCCCACCCCCTTTCCACCCACGCATGCACCGTAGCACCTTCTCCGCTCTTGTTCACCTTACCCCCTTCCTTCAACGTGCCACCCTTCCATCCTCTCTGCTGTGGCCCACAAAACCCTTTCGTATGCCAAAGTGACTCTGGATTTGAGGCTTTTCCCTGATTTCGGAATAAGGCGCTGCCCTAAGTCACTTGTGCAGTAAGGCTGAGACCACCTGTCTTCTTACAAGCAGAGGCTTGCCAAGCGTGAACATTTTGCCACGCTACCTTCCAATCAGAACCAGCAAGGTTCTGATTGCAGTGGCTGCCTGTGGGTTCACCCACCTGGGGTAAACTGTTGAGAGGGAAACCAGAATCCTGCTTGAAAACATTGAGGGGTTGTTTTTGTTTGCTTGTGTTTGGCTTTCCCGATGGGAACGGGGTTGCTTTTGTGTTTTCTTCTCAGTAAGTTCATTGTTGATGTCTTAAAATGCTGTTGGGTTTTCTGCGTTGGTGTTTGGATCCTATCGTAGGGGTTCTGCTAGTCGTGATGCAGTGTGGGGTTTTCTACGTATGAAATCGTACCATCTGCACCCATTTGACTTCTTTCTGGCTAATTGTTTCCTGTGCGCCTTGTGGCCTTATTGTTCGCCCCGAACTCTTCGGGACTATACTGAACGAGAGCAGGAAAAGCCACCGACCTCGTCTTGTTCTAAATATCAGAGGAAACGCTTTCAGACTCTCCGCATCCAGTATGCCATAGGCTGTGGCTTGTCATATGCTCTTGATTAGGTGTGAACTTTCTACAATTTGTTTTAAATCATAAAGCAAGGCTGAATTTTTCTGCTTATATTGAGGCAATTTTTATGATTTTTTTTGCAATTCATTCTGACGATATATTACGTTTATTGATTTGCGTATGGTAAACCATCCCCCCGTCTCTTGGATGCACCCACCTTGATCACCAGATCTTTTTGATGTTGTAATATTTTGTTGGGTGTTTTTGTGTCTCTGTTTTTCAGTGACATTGGTCTGTAGTTTTGTTTGTTGTGTCTTTGTCTCCTTTTGGTATGGGGCCATGCTGACCTGGTGGAATGAATTTTGATATTTTAGAATAGTTTGAGAACAAGTGGTGTTTCTTTAAGAATCTGCTAAGGTTCGTCCACAGAGCCATCTGTGCTTGGCTTTGTTAGGAGACGTTTTGCTTACTTAGTCTCATTACTTATGCTAGTCTATTCTGGTTTTCTATGTCCTCACAATTCAATTTTGATAAGTTATCTATATCCAGAAATTTATCCATTTTTTCCTTTTCAAAAAATTTTAATGAAATTGATTTACTAGATACTGTATGTAGCACATAGAGCCTTTTCAGGTTTGTTTTTACATTGTCCTCAATGAAGCAACTATAATATTTTGTAGCAAACATAATTTCAAAACCAAAACCAAACCAAGCCACCTCAGGTTGTGGTACTTCAGCCTTGAGGTCTAACCAGACTAAAGACCCGAAACCCTGCAACATGTTTTTAAAAAAACAAGCCTGGAAATTAAGCAAGCATTCCTAACTCCAACTAGAAAATGCCTTCGTTAAAATCTCCAAAATGCAATATATAAGTTTCTTTATATAGAAATATATATTTATATATAAACATAAAACATATATATTTGTATATGTAATATGCAGATATGTATGCAAATATGTAAGTATACATATAAATATATATTTCAATGTATTTCTTTTGTCACGAAAAGGGATTTGGAGCATGCAGCCAGACTACTAATAACCTTCTGATGCCATTAGTATATTTTTGCTTTCTCAGAAAACTCAAAATATGTTTTAATTAGGCATATACAAAGAATGTTTAGCATATAAAAATACTGGGACCAGAAAACGAAGCTGCCGTCAGCATTATTTCAAACTCTGTAGCAAGTTGTATTTCCGTACAGCACCAAGACGTTTCCTTTTTAAAAAACACACACAATGAATGCGATTCTTTAATCCAGCAATAGCATATGTTACTCCCCAGCTGCATGAAAAACAGGTGGCATTGTTGCTGAGTGTGACAGGAGGGGTCCCAGGGAACAGGCAGGTGGACAGCCATCCCCGTAGCCACGCTCTGAGGTTTCACAGTTCGCTGGTGCATGGGTGCTCACCGGTCCCTGAGGATGCTCCGTGCCCTTCACACACTGCTGGGAATGCCTCCTTCTTCCTCTGTGACTTTGGCCAGCTGAATCCTCTCCTTTACTCTTGTCCTCAGTTATCCTAACTGAAAGCTTCTTGATTTTGTCTATCTTCTAAAAACGAGCTCTTCATTTCAGTCACCTTTTCAATTGTATTTTAGGCTCTCTTTATTCTTTGATATTTGTTATTTTGGATTTGACCTATGCTTGCCTCTGCTGAGCTTTGGAATACACAGTTAGGCTGTTATTTGAAATCTCATTATTTTCTGAAGAATTTATTGCTATAAATTTCCCTCTTGTTATTTGATTTTTTTTTATTTCCTTAACCTTTGTTATGTTGCTTCCATCTTCAAAGTTTTAAGAATGTTCCTCTTTTAGGCTAAAAGTTTATTCTTTTACATTACATTTGTTTAAAGACATGCAAGAAAAGAGATATGCAATATGCCTTTTTAAGCTATCATCAGAGCAATATAACATAGTATATTTAAAAATTTTATTTATTGTGGTAGAAGTATATAGACATGATTAAAAACAATTTTAATTTCCTTTGTTACTTCTTTAATGACTTGGTATTTAGTTAGTATCATTTGTTCTGATTGTATACATTAATATAATTTCTGAAGTTTCTCTTATTCTTGATTTCTTGTTTTATTCCATATCATGTACTTGTATACATGATGTGCTTTTGATCTTTTAAGATTTGTTATTTTGCTTTTCCTAATATATGGTCTGTTGGAAAGGACAGCCCACGTGCTGATGAAAGGAGTATGTATTTGGCAGCTGTTGGGTTGAAAGGCTCCGCTAGTATCTTTCTGTGCGAGTTAATTCTGGTCTTTCTCTGTCTCTGGATGTGTGTCCAGTGTTGAAAGTAGGATGCTGAAGTCTCCCACTTGTACTGTACTGGGGAAAATCTCCACTTTTATAGCTCATGGTGTTTTATAAATTGCCTGCTATAGCATGGGTGGATTTACATCTATAATTGTTATGTCGTCTTGTTAAATTGGTCTCATCTATTCTCTTTTTATAGTTCATCTCAAAGTATAGTTTATCCAAAGTAAGTATGGGTTGCTCCTGTCTGCCACTGGTTTTCATTAGTGTGTAATGTCTTTTCCTCGCTACTCACTGTGTATATAGGAGTGAAGGGAATTTCCTGTGGGCAGCATACTTTTGGATTGGAAGATTTACTGAGTTCTTTATTTCTAAAATCATTGGACCTTCATATTAAAAAAGAAGAACCATTTAGTGTGTATCTTACTAGTTTTTGAAGTAAGTGTTTTTCTTTTATTTTTGACAATGTTAATTCTATGTATTGCTGTGGCTCAGTGTGACATTTCAGTTCATGTGTACAGCATACGCCAGCCAATCCAGACTTGCTTTTCCCCCCTCCCCACCCCCTCCCTCTCGTTTTCTCTATATTTTTCCATAATTGTATACACAGCTTAATGAGAAGTCATATAGAAGTAACTAAAACAACTAAAAATATGATGGTGTATAAAAACACTACTGATTTCTAAGTCTGATTACATTGAGATTTTGGAAGGAAGGATGAAGCTTGCTCACTTCTGGATGTATATCCTGAGGCAATAGAATGACCTGACCAAAGACATACCTCTACACCCAACTTGCACAATTCATAATAGTCAAGATACAGAATCAATATGGTACAGATCCACAATGGAATACTATTTAGCCGCCGAGAGAATGAAATCCTGTTATGTTACAGCACAGTGAATGGATGGAGCTGGAAGACATTACATTAAGTGAAATAGCCCAGGCACAGAAAGAGACTGGCCATCTCTTCTCTCTCCTGTGCAGAAGTCTATATACATACATATGTGTGTGTGTATATATATATATCCAACTATATATATATATCACCTAGATAAATGTAAGTATCTAGTCCACTTACATTTAAGTTTATTTTTACTAATAGCTAAAGACTTACTGCTGTTACTTTGCTTATTTTCTTCATTTGTGACTTTATTTTATTCTGTCACCTTGGTTTAGAATACTGCTAACTCGGACTTTATCCCACCCCTGTTTCACATGAGTCTTACTCTTTCAGCATTCTTGCAGGGATAGCTTTCTTTCTTTTATTTCTGGTTTAGGACTCTGCTAAGCGTCCGATAGGAGTGGTGATGTTTTCCTTAAGTTTGCTTCTTTGGGGGTCTTCATTTCTTTTCCCCTTCATGTCTGAATGACAGCTTTGCTTTGCCATTTTTGCTTGTCAAGCATTTTCTTTCAGAACTTGAAATCGATCTTTCCGTTCCCTCTCAGTCTGTAGGCTTCTCCTTGGTAGGTCAATGGAGGCCGTGGGCGTGACTTTTTACTTTCCTCTCGCAGGTCTTAAAGTTCTTTCTGTTTCAAGACTTGAAATGTTTTCTTTTAATTACACACATGTGGCGGTGTGTGGGAGTGTGTATGTGAATGCAGGTGCCTGTGGGGGTCAGAAGGACGTGTCTGGTCCCCTGGAGCTGCAATTGTATTTTTCCCAGTGTGACTAAATATGCCACAGCAGGGTCAATTCTGGTGATTATTTTGGGGGTTCTATGTGCTTCCTATGCCTGCATGTCTTTCTTTGGGATGGTGGACTTTTCCAACTATTAGATCATTTGATAGGGTTTTGTTTGTTTGTTTGTTTTGAATACTTTTTCTTGATTTCTTTGGTTTCTGGTGCCCAAAATGTGAATACCTAGTCCTTAATAACGTCTCAATAGCCTCAGAGGATCTTTTTTTTTTTTTTTTTTTTTCTCTTCCTTTTTATTTTCTGTCTGAGATACTTTAGCCT